CGAGTGGTAATACTTGTGATAGTAAAATATATAGGCGGCAGATTTTCGCCGCGGACGACGGAAAATGTGGTTTCCCTCGGACGACGGTAAAGCGATTTTTGTTCACGTTACTGTGAAACAGAATTATTACTAACAATGTTTTTCTCCGGATCCTTGCATCGATATAAAATGATCAGAGAAATTTTTACGAAGCGGGTAAAAATATTTCAATTCTATAGAATTCCTTTAATCCTTTTCCGTTTTTGAAACACGGGTGATATGTGTAACCGAATCGGTTCTTTGTCCCGGTCACGCATCGGCGCATTCAGATTGGACAACGTGCATGGAAACTTGAATCTGACGGATAAATACTAACCCGGGTAGCCTCCTCCTCTAATACCGGATTTCATTAAAATTCATTCAGCCGAGCAAGCTGTCACACGTGCGGGGTTAAGCGCCCCGAGTGGAACAGGTAATAGGCTTATGATATTATGATAAAGGATAGCTGAAAATTGACATGAAATTGGAAAATCTTGGTGAAAATACGAATTACCTGTGTTTCGCCACGCTCTTTACGTGCTTACAAATACGTGTTCAAAATTCAATTTAGATTTGTTTTCAATTTCATTAATTTGAAATTCATGTCGGTCGATTTTTCTTATGTCTCTCACCAACTATGTTCGAATAGCTTCGTCGACAAGCTTTATTTGAGACCCTTTGTGCTGATTCGACGTGCGAATGAATTAAGAGAACGAATGATCGATCGGGCTCCGGTAATTACTTGACGCAAGGAATTGTCAGAAAAAATGGAATTCATATCGTGAACAGACAAATGAAGCAGAAATCCGTATATAACAGTTGCGATTATTTCCCCTGCGCGAACCACAGGGAGCACTGGGACGCGATGTAAGCAAGCATAGGGTTCCTGGCCCTCTTATTTCTCCGCAGACTCATATACCTTCATGATCAGCGGCGACCTGGACGCGACGTTTCGAGTTATATCGCCAGCCAACAATGAGTCATTGTCAGAATCTCTGAAATAGAACGCCAGTCACCCTCCCCGGGCGGAAACTTTATTCCACGCGATTCCGTCATCAGTTAAAAACCACATTCTCTGGTTCAAATATTAGAACAGCAGTCCCGGTAAAAACATCTTGATCAGATTCGATATAAAACAGGAAATGTTTACGTTCGAAGAGATTATACGATTCCAATCGCTTCAACCTTCGAAGCACTTATATTTGTCGGAGTAGCAATACTTCTTTCGTTCACTATACGTATGGTTTACAACGCGAGGCAAAGAATTTCCCTATTAAGTTTAACACGTTCACCGCGCGCTATTTTCCGATTTAATCTCCAGCGAGAATTCGCCCGAGTCCTTCCGCGTTACGTAGTCGCGTTTAATTTAACAGGGAACGAACGATTCAATTTAAATTTTACCGGTGAACACGGTCCTCCCTTGGAAGGATCAAGAATCCCACGCGGGCTACGAAAAACCGAAGGAGGATAAACCTCTATTCGTTTAAATATAAGCCCGGCGCAAGACAGTCGTTTGGACAAGGGACGACGGAATAAATCGACAGATTTTCATCAAGAAGTAACCCCCGAGACAGCTTGCCCTCCTCGCTCTGTCTCTGCGGACCAACGAGGTCTGTGATTGGCACCGGTGACAATTATTTGTTTCCCACAAATCACCGGGAGCGCCGTTTCTTCCGGGCTTTTCGTCTTCTTTCTTCTTGCCCCGACTCGTTCAGCCTGTCCGTGACATTCTCCCGCGATATTGTCACCGTTTCCCCGTGACCCGGCCGTAAAACAAATTTTACGCCGAAGGCTTCGCTGATATTAACCATTCTTTAAACAATACACGTATTCTTGGACGCTCAAGCAAAATCATTAAAAGGAACGGAGACGGGAATGGAATTTAACAAGCTCTTATCTAATTCTAATTAATATTTTCGTAATGAACGCATGGAACAATAAATCTTGGCGTAAATTCTCTCAATTAATACGTCTGTTTCGTCGATCGATCAAACGCTTTGGTAATGTGCTTGTTAATGAGGAGAAGACGGGGTGATGATCGAACTTCGGAAACTAAAGGACGATCGTTACCCGTCTCGGGAGGTTTGCGACGCGCAATGAGACGACAACGAGGTTGCTGCTGCTGCTGCTACTGCCTCTGTTGTTTCCCCTCTTCGGAGCTTCTCTTCTTATCAGTCGCCGCAGACATTAGGACGGAATAAAAAGAAGAAATAAGGGGGCACTTCAAAAGCCGGTCGCGGCGTTCCCGACAAAGCACGACTTTCGCGGTCGCCAATAATTGGACAGTGGTGGAAGGGAAAAAAGACGGAAAGGAGAGAGAGAGAGAAAGAGAGAGAAAAATTAAAATAGTCGAGACGACAGGAAGTGCCGGTGTAGATGATGCTCCCTTCCCGGTTTTCGCGGCCACCCTTAACGCAGTGATCCTTCCTCCTGCGTCTCTCCTCCTCTGTCCCCCATCCCCTGTCTCCCTCTTTCACGCCAGTTTCGCGCTTATTATCCGAAAGTTCCAAAGTGAAACAGAGTGAAACTCTGTCGGCGTTGGAGAGAACTTTTAACAACGCCACGAAGGCACGAATTCGTGGGTGTCTCTTGTGTCACGATGGTGGATGAAACGCGACTGAGTGGAGGGGAAAACGGACATGGGGAAGATTTTTATGCGGGAGAGAAACGCGTGTTACGAGGGGGAGAAGGACTGACGTGAAGAGCAACGGGACGGTTTAAAAGACAGTTTGAATGATAAATAGACAGGATTCTGAACGGTCGAGTCCGATCTGATAAATTTCCGTAGTTGGAAAAATATTTCCTACCCTAATAATCTTGTGACTCAATATTTGATTTCACGAGATTTCTAAAATAATTCCGTTGCCAGTGTTAGACAGTTTCGCGCAATAAACCGATGAGATAGAAATTTATGACCGCGCAAAGCAGCGAGAGGGGATCGTGAAAATCTGCAAACTCTCGGCACGCGAAGTTAAATAAACGCAAAGAGCAAAAGGACCGGTGGACAGCGAAGTAGAGAAGGAAAAATATGTTCATGTATACACTAACAAGTTCGTGGGGAACAAAGAACAGATGACAAAAGCGGGAGCGAACAAAGGGGTCGCAGAGTTGATAATAATGTTATTAGTTAAGGGCGAAGTTTTTTAGCCAGTGTACATAATTAGATTGTACGAACTTCTCTAATAATCCTGATCAGTCTTTGTTGGATGAACAAATTTTTAATGTTATATGGTATTCACGCAGTCGATCAGTTCTTTTAGTAACGAATCAATCCTTGTATTTTGAAAGCTCAAGTTGCCCTTGTGTCCAATGCGCACTTTTATTAACTCCGTCATGTTATACCGGAACAGTTAATTATCTATCGATCACGTTGAATTCGACTGTTAACCGAGCGACGCTCCTACATCTTTGGAAATAAATTTCATTCTGGCCGACGACAAAATGAAAGAAGCCGGCGAGGCGTAAACAAGCGCGCGGAACGAAGCGAAGACGCGTTAAACGGGAAAGGAGAAGCTCCGCAACGGTCCTCGAGGAGACGACAAAACGAAAAGAAACGTGGGAAGAGGAAAAAGTAGCTAGGAAAAAGTAGAGGAGGAACTGGGGGCCGTGGAGGAAGAGAGGCGTCCGCGGTTGCGAGAGCGAAGGAGAGGGTGCAAAGAAGAGGAAGTTTTATTTCAAGGGAGGCTTCGCAAGCCGAGAACAGACAGGACAGACGGAGGAAATACATAGCCGGATAAATACGACTACGAGGGGTTGCGATTCCTCTTTTCTGCTCCTCTTGTTTCCACTCCTTTTACTAGCTCTGTCTCCTTCCCTCGGTTGTCTCGAGCTCGTTCGATGCGGCGAAAACTCTGCTCGCGACCTCTCCGTTCTTCTTGTTCTCCGTTTCCGGAGCTGGTTGTCGCGCGGCAACAATGTCGCATCGATTTTATCAAAAGTCTAAACACATCCGATTAAATTCAGTTAGGCGGACGTGTAGCGAAGCCGGACGCCTTTTGAATTGTTATCGTGTTCCCCGCCGTAGCACCGAGGAGGGATTACTGAAGAGTGGCAGCCTTATGGAACTCAGGATTGCAAGATGTGAGGAATTTCGATCATTAATAAATTCAACTCTAACAATTGTACTTTATAGGGAATTATGTTTCTGGAATAAAAGACATAAAAATCGCTTGGAAAATGTGTATAAGGCAAAGGGACCGTGTATTAGGGATTGAAAGTTGAGGAAAAAGGAAGAAAAGAGATTTGAAAACTTTGGGGGAACGTAAAGGCGTAGGAGAAAGTAAAACTTCCAGAAATTTCAACGGCGAAGTTTTAAAGATTATAAAAACGCTGCGAAAAGGCTTTCAAGCTTTCTCTAAATTGTAATTAGAATTGTATTCAAAGCTGTTCCTAAATGGATAAGTCAAACGCTTCAAGTGTATTAGATCGGTGAATATGAAATATCGATTAGCTTCTCAGGTCTAAGGTCTCAATTTTCTGATTGAAATTCATTTATAGCAAATGTCCCAAGTTCTGTTCACTTGCTCTTTCCCCTATAACTTTATATGAAATCTCAAATTATTGAGTGGTTAAATGAACAAAAATTGGGATATCATGTGAATATAAATGAATATGAAATAGCTTAATATTCATCGACCAGACACGTTATTTTCATTATTAGAATTCAAAGAATTGTTTACTGTCTGATAACTGAGACATAGCGTGAGTTAGTGCACTCATTTTATACTTGACATTTTATTATAAAAGTAATAAAAAGAAATTAGCAATGAAACTTTAAACAGATTTTAAGACACGTTTATTTGGAATACTTAAATTACTTAAACATTTAACAATACGTAAAACTAACTATTGGAAGCGACGTTTTATGTACGCCAATCTAATCGAATCGACTGACAGTTTTTGTTCGAATCAAGTGACGTAGTTTCGTTCAAAAACAATTAGGGGAGTGAACGTCTCGACTGAGTCTCAAGTTTATTTTCCAGTTACTACGCATCGACTGCTTTTCCACCTCGTTTGGCACCGCCGTTGAAGAGAGCCCGTTTGATGCCGCCGGCTCGATCGCAGCATCCGAAGCAACAGAAACAGCAACCCGCGGCGAACACCGCCAACAGCATCCCGGATCTGAACCAGCTGAAAGTGTACAGTAAGTAGCAAACAATGTAGCCTTTTCGCGACGTCGGTCCTCTCTCGGGAACAAAAAGCTGCGGTGGGAAAAAGGGGGTAGGAAAAGCTCGATTGGCCGGAAAGAGTGCGACGGCATCTCGAGCGTGTCGCGGTTTCGAGGGTGGAGTTTCGAAGCCTCGCCGGAAGCACAGTTTGTTAGTTCGCCGGCGTGTAGTTTGATCGCACCCCTTCCGCAACGGTGGGAAAACGGCGTCGACGCGACGGTATCGTCCCGACGCTTGTTTCCGCGCTGAGCGCGCTTTAATTACGCGGAAATCGCGAGCGTGTGCACGGAACGAAAGAGGTAGACGGGGTGGGTCGGTCGGTTGGTTGGTAGTTGGTCGTGTTGCGGCTCCCTTTAAATATGGGGAATAGAGAAGAATGGAAAAGCAGTGGGGTTATTATTTGTCACGGGACGAGGAGCACGAGCCACCGTTTGCGTTCTCATTTAAAAACTTTTGGATTATCGGGCGCGCAGTGCTGGCCGGCCCGGTGAGAGGAAGTTTCCTAGTTAAATAATTACATACGGACCGCGGTGTACCTGGTTATTTATCCGACGGACAGGACGAAAATTTCGCCTCGTAGTCGCGCCTCACTGCCTTTCAATGAGAAACTTATTTTAATTAATATCAAATCCGGAGTTTCTATGTCCATCTTTTTGCCTATCTCCGATATGTTTATCATTTCGACGCAAATAAACGCATCGGCCAATTTAGTTTTCTGCCATTATCGTCGTTCCTCGCGTGACGAAAAATGTGTTGGATAAAAACACAGAAAATTGTTGCGTTTAAAGTGAGGACGATTGCATACGATAGAAAAAATTTTTAAACACGATCAAACTAGAGATCAAACTGCAGCTGAAATCAGCTCGCAATTTCCGTGTTCCAGGCAACCCGGATATCCTGATCTGCGGCAACTGTAGAGAGATGTTTACAGACCTCGGCGAGTTGCTCGAGCACAAGCGGAATTACTGCAAACTGCGGTTCACATGTAAATGTCACACCTTTAACGGAACGGCCCCAAGTACGTACTCGAAAGAAAAGTTTCCGGTTTGCAAGCCTGGGTTAGACGAGAATGTTAGGCCAACTAAAATCCATCGCGTTTACACAAAACACGATCGCGGTTTAAGTTTTTCATCGCGTTTATACATAATATACAGAGCTAGTTGTGACAACAGTTTGCGAAATTATTTGCTGATTTTATTGGAAAATGTTTTTTCAATTCCATTTTCTTGGACTTTAAATAAGTGAAATTCATGTTATGAAGTTCTGGAATAAATTTAAACGTGAATTCGCTGTGTATAAAAATAATGCAAAAAGGCATTTCGAACGACAGGATAAGATTCTTTATTTTTTATTACTTAGGAGAAAAATATATTTCGCGATTGGGTGATCGAATTTAGGCCACGATTCGGCTTTCGCCTTTAAGATATTTTTCAATAAAGATCCGGCTTTCATTGGAATTCGAAGGCGCAGCTGGTTTCAAAATACTGTCACCCCTTTCGCTTATCCTTATCGCGGCGTTCGAATAGGACAGGTGTAAAAATGAAATTCGAGCTGGATCCCAGGAGTAGTTCTCTCCTACCTCGTCTCCCGTTTCGTTTGATCCCTTTTCTCTGCACGGAATTGTATTTTGTCATTTTATTGGCCGAAACGCACCTGCGTCGGCTGCGAGAGAGCCCATTCAATGGTTTGTCTACGATTGAGTACAACCCTTTGACGAATTTGCCCAGCTTTCGCGAATCGCTGAATATCAGCTCACAAAAGAATCGACGAATACTGGACGTTTCGTGTTTTTTTAAGCTTATTAAAAAAAATTCCCCGGAATTCAACAGCGTTTAATTAAAATACTGATCGGATATTTTTTCACCGGCGATGTTCGTCGAACGCACTTTCGTGTTTGTATTTAAAGGAGACTCCACGACGGCTCTGCTATGCGTTCTCTGCAAGGTATCGTTCCCTTCGGCATGGGAACTGATGGTTCACGCTCAAGCGGCTCACATGATCAACATTTACGAGCTTGGAACTCGACCTCAGAGTCCCAGATCCGCGGCCAGTCCGCCGCAGAGTCCGAGTCAACATCAGAAGGAATCATCCCCGTTACCGCAAGACTTTCAGGTAAGCCAGACGTCAAAAATGTCTTTCTCTCGTTACTTATTTACCGCGCGAGTAGCTTACCTCTCGGGTTAAAATAAATCGCGAATTAATCTTCTGCGCGAGGCTCCATTGTTTCGACCTCTGTCGATCGATACTGAAAAATTATTTCAGCCTTTTTCTTTTCACGGGTGTACGGGATTAAGGATGTATTGGTTATACAGTCAATCCCAAAAGTTTATGTACTTTAGAAAAACGCATTTCCTATAATTAAAAAGAAATCAGATGTCGGAAGAATAATGCTAATAATAAATAGCTACGTGCTAAAAAGTATAGAAGGAAATATCTAATTAAGTATCGACG